TAAACCCACAACCCGCCCACATTCCCAGCCACCGACCCACTCCTCATAAACCTTCCCTACTCACAAGTCCTTATACTCACATACTCATCACTCACAAATAAACCCACAACCCGCCCACATTCCCAGCCACCGACCCACTCCTCATAAACCTTCCTTACTCATGTCTTTTTACTCACATACTCATCACTCACAAATAAACCCACAACCCGCCCACATTCCAAGCCACCGACCCACACCTCATAAACCTTCCTCACTCATGCCTACTCACATACTCATCACTCACAAATAAACCCACAACCCGCCCACATTCCCAGCCACCGACCCACTCCTCATAAACCTTCCTTACTCATGTCTTTTTACTCACATACTCATTGTTCCAACAGGTGAGGCTCGGCTGTGTTACAACTGCACTGGCGATTGCGTGACTGACAGCGAGTGCAAAGGATCGTGTACCACATCTGTGCCTGAACTAGGTGAGGCTCTCATGATGTTGGTGATGATGTTAGATGATAATGATGATTATAGTGGTGACGGTAATAATATTGGTAATGCTAATGATAGTGATAGTGGTGACGATAATATTATTGGTAATGATGTTGGTAATGCTAATGATAGTGATAGTGGTGACGATAATAATATTGGTAATGATAATGATAGTGATAGTGGTGACGATAATAATATTGGTTATGATAATGATAGTGATAGTGGTGACGATAATGATAATGATAATGATAATAGTAACTGCAACAGCAATACTACTACTTATTATTATCATTACTGTAGTGGTAAAATGATAATATGATTTTGATGGTAGTTAAAATGATGGGGATGATGACAGTAATGGTAATGATGGTAAGATAATGCTAATGACAGTGGTGACGATAATAACATTGGTAATGATCATGATAGTGATAGCGGTGACGATAATAATAATGACAATGATAATGATAATGATAATAGTAACTGCAACAGCAATACTACTACTAATTATTATTATTATTACTGTAGTGGTAAAATAATGATAAGAGTGATTTTGATTATAGTTATAATGATAGTGATGGCGAATATAGTAATGGTAATGATGATAAGGATAAGGATAAGGATAATGATAATGATAATAATGATGATAGTAACTGCAACAGCAATACTACTACTGCTACTTATTATTATTACTATAGTGGTAAAATAATGATGAGAGTGATTCCAATTATAGTTATAATATGATGACGATAGTGATGGTAATGATGGTAAGGATAATGATGCCAATGGTACTGGTAGTCATTACGGTGAAAATGATAATGATAATGCTTATAACGACGATGGTAGGAATGATAAAGATGATGGCGATGATGATGGTAATGGTAACGATAATAATAATGACAATGATAATGATAATAAGGATAAAAATAACAACAGCAACACTACTACTACTACTGATGATTATTACAATGATAATATTGATAATGATAATAACAATAATGATACTAATGATAATTATAATAAAATCAATGATAATGACAATAATGATAATAATGATAATTATAATAAAATTAATAATAATGACGATAATGCTGATAATAATAGTGACAATGATAAACATGATCATGATGATAATAATTATAATAAAAATAATAATCACGATTATGCTGATGAAGATGATAACAGTGATAAAGTGATAATAAATATAATAATCGTGATGCTGATACTGCTGATGATAATAGTAATAATATAATGAGAATAGTAATAATGATAATAATAATAATAATAATAATAATAATAAATAAATAACAATGATAATAATAATAGTAATAACAACAACAACAATAATAATAATAATAGCAGCAATAATAATAACGATAATGATAATGATAATCATAATAATAACAATAATAACAATAATGATAACAGTAGAAAAAATCATGATAAAAATAGCAGTAGTAATAACATTAAGGAAAATAATAAAAATAATAATTATTATAATAATAGTAATAATAATGATAACAAAAATAATAATGGTACCAATAATAACAAAGATAATGCTGATCATGATTGGAATGCTAATGATGATAATTATGATAATGTAATAATAATAATTATAATGGTATTGATAATAATGATTATGATAATGGTAATGATAATAATAATTATGATAATGGTATTGCTAATGATAATTATGATAATGGTAATGATAATAATGATAATAAAAGGATAGTAATAATAATCACAATTATGATAACACTAACAATAATGATAATGATAATATTCATATCAATAATAATAATGATATCAATAACAGTAATGGTAATGATAATGATGATAATGATATTGGTAATAATAATGATATTGGTAATAATAATGATAATAATAATAATAATAATAATAATAATGATAATGATAATAACAATAATCATAATGTAATCAAATAATGATGATGATAATAATCATGATAACAATAACATAATATATATATATATATATATATATATATATATATATATATATATATATATATATATATATATATATATATATTATATATATATATATATATATATATATATATATATATATATACATATATATATATGTATATATATATATATATATATATATATACATATACATATAATATACATATATATATATATATATATAATACATATATAATATATATATATATATATATATATATAATATATATTATACTATTATATATATACATATATAATATATATAAACATAAAAAAAAGTATTTAGCACCACATTTGACCTTACTAAACATTCAGCTTTATTTTTTGCTAAACATTTTGCTTTCTCAGTATTTGCTGATAAACATGGTACTGATATTATAGTTTGATTTCTCATAAGTCAATTGCGCATTTGTTTATCACTCACTGTAGTTTATATGCATTATAGTCACAGTATTGCTGATATTACTGTATCATCGGCAGAACATTATCGCTATAAACAGCGGTGTTGATAGCAAATATGGTAAATTATAGTTATAGTTATAATCATTGTAATAACCGTGTCCGACGCAGCTTTCGTTGATAATGCGTCGGACATGTAATAACAAAGATAATAACTATAATTATGACTTACCACATATGCTATAGACAGTTTATAACAATAATTATCATTATCATCGCTATCACTTTTTTCAGCATTACTATGAACACCATCTTAAATACGGTAACCATATAGAATCACCGTCAGCATTGTCATTAGTTTAAAAAAATAGATAAATATATTTTAAAAGGTAAATACTAAAATCAATACTGATAAAAATAAAGCCAAAACAAAGAAAGTCATTTCTACTTTGTCTGTCTCGTGTATCTTGTACCTCTTTTTTGATAGATTCGAAGCCTAAAAAAACAGTTACGATTCCCAAATAATTTCGATATGTGACCTAAATAACACAGAACAGGATATTCTCTTTCATTCTTTCATTGTCGTATCTGGGGACGATTGATCACTATAAAGATACAGTGAGTCCGGGAGACGAAATGGCTGCCGTGTTAGTCGTCTCTGGGCTGGGTCATTTCTCGGTCTTTCTTTGGTGAAATGAGAAAGAAAGATGAGGTTGAGGTTGGAAAAGGAGAGGGGAATGGGAGGGAGAGAGTGGGTGGGTGAGCAGTGTGAGTGTGAGAGTGAAAGTGTGTGTGAGTGAGTGAGTGTAAGAGTGAAAGTGTGTGTGTGAGTGTGAGAGTGTGTGTGAGAGAGAGAGTGAGTGTGAGGTGTGAGAGAGCCGAGTGAAAGTGTGTGTGAGAGAAGAGAGAGAGTGAGTGAGTGAAAGTGTGTGAGAGAGTGAGCATGAGAGTGGAGTGAGAGTAAGAGAGGCGAGGGGGGCAAAGCTAATAACAGCTAATAGAATGGAAAGATGAGAAACAGAGAAAGAAGGAAAGGTAGAAAAGATATGGGAAAGAAAGAGAAAGAACAAACACAGATAAACAAAGCTATACACAAAAGAGACGAGACAGACAAGACCTAAAATAAAAAAGAAACGAGACAAATTTTGCAAAAAGAACAAGGTGAATAAGAACAGAATAAGAAAAAAAAATAAAACACGTACAGAAACTAACTCTACTTCAAACTAACAACAAAAAAACATAAAAAATCAAAAATACATCCCTATATAAAGCAGAGTTCACTAACCACACACTCTCCCTCGAAGGCGACGGCCACGAGATCCGCAGCTGCCAGAACGAGACCGTGGAGGCGCGTTGCATCTCCGAGATCATCTTCGACAAGCGATACAAGACCTGCTACTGCAACACCGAGCGCTGCAACTCCTCGTCCGTCGCCTCCGTCAGCGCCTTCCTCTTCGCGTTGGTGGCTCTCCTTCTGCGGGAACTGAGGTAGAAAGAGCGAGAGACGCCACCCGGCTGGGGCGAGCGTGGTCCAGCCCGAGAGGAGAGTGAAACCTGTTCCAAATTCAGCTTCGAACGACTGGGTGTGACTTCTTCAGGTCGACTAGTCCCCAAAGCCCATGACTCGACGGTCCTTCAACATGCTCGTTCCTTGCATGGTATCTGCGTGAAGCTGAAAGAGAGTCCGCGCGTTTTGTGTTGTTTTCGCTTCGGGAATCGTCGAGATCCGCTCACGAAACTGAATCTGTGTTTTACGAGGTATAAACCCATTATTCTTTGACGAAGTTCACTGCTTATTTTCCAATGTTGTGATTATTATTTTCAATAGTAATACCATCATAATTGGATGATTTGTTATGCAAATATTAGCCAATAGATGGAAATTATCTCTGCAACGAAAAATTCACCTTAAATTATTCGAAGGGAGTTACCTCCTCCATGTAGGTACGAAGAATTATCTTACTAATTTAGGTAACTTCTTTGAGTCTGTTTCAGCTCTTTGACGACGTAAACAAAACAATAAAAAATGCGAAGGTAAAATGCAAAACACAAGTCACAACCAGCCATTATGGACCTGAGATAAACAGAAACTTCGCAAAGATCGTTCCTAGGACCAACCAGGGCGTCCGAGTTATCAATATGACATTTCCGCAGACCAGCCTGTCAGATCTGTCCTTACCCTCGCAAGCTGAGGTCACACCAGAAGGACCGCAGATAGAGGTAATACGTAACCGCTTAGGCCATAAATAACTGTCTTGACATCCCTGTGGGTTTCGACATCAAGTATTTACTTCTACCTGAATCTCAGTGAGTCTAAAACACAATTATATATACTATTTTTTTGCCTTTGCGCCACTCAGAATCTAAAGCACACAGATCTTTGGCCGTACTACCCCAGGCATACTCGTTTGTTACTTTGGCTTGTTCCCTTGACTTCATGAAAGCCTTTCATTGCGCAAATATCAGAGCTTGATATTAAGGTCACTATTTATCGTTCAATATTCTCTCTCCCAGTGCTTCTTTATACATGCCAAACCGTGACGTAAAACTGTGCTATCCACGCAGGTCCTCAGTGGATAGATTCTAGTGCCTTTCTTCCCTTTTCTGGAGTTGAGGTTAGAGATACTTTGCTTTCCACACGTTTTTTTGTTTATTTGTTTATTTACTGATGCAACAAAGGGCCGTTTGATGGCGTTTAACTACGGACTAAAAGGAAGCGGATCACAGAAGATATGACGTCATACCCGCTCGAACAGAAATCATTTTCTGTCGCTGCAAAATGTGAACGGTAACATTACATATCCTCCTATAGAAAAATGAGTCACTTATTAATCAGATTTTTTGTTTACCACAGTATATTTACGACACTACATTTCTGAGAATAATTTTTTTACGAAATGTCTATATATTTCCAACATTTATTGAAATGCTATTTTAGTTATTTTCGTCGGACATTGTAAGGCTTATATTTCACATAAAGTATGTCCTCAAGTTCCATATATTTGCAGAACATAATTTCTATATATTTTTCTGATGCTTTCAGGTGCAGTCGATAATAGAGTGCAAAATAGCTAAAATAAATATCCTAAAGCTGTATCAAAACAAGGTGGATTCAATATATGCTCTTCACCGTCTGATCAAGAACCAGTCCTTTTCTGGCTCGTAAATGACAGCTTTTTTCTTTATCTCTTCTTTTTCTCTAGAAACAAAAAAAAAAAAAATGTTGAGACGCAGAATATCAAATGAACATTTTATAGAGTAGCAGCATCTATTAACGTCATGTAATTAAAGCAAAATGAGTGAAACAGACAGAGGTTTCGATAACTTATACAAGGTATATAAACATCAAAATTTCACTAGCAGCATAGCACTATTTCCCCCCATAGTGAGCGGCTTTAAATATCTTCGCACAGTGCTTGTCAATCCTAAAGTAGGTTAGAAAGTTATGAGCATATGCGTAATGTATTTTTTCCTTTTTTTTTTTTTTTAGAATAGCAAAAAGGACGAATGAAAACAAATGAAGTTCATGCATTTTATAAGATACTTTTTTATCGTATTTTATATATATTTACATATACGTACAGTATAGCCAGCACACCACAGGTATGTCTGCCATTAGAGTCACCATTGTTTATGCAGAAGAAAATATTGCTGGATGAAGGAAATATTTTTTGAGAAATAGACGTAAATATATCACGTGATTTCAGACTCAATTGTGAATGTGTGGATAGCAAGGTGTTTCGCAGGAAAGGGCAAAATATAACTTCGCAGATTTAATCATACAACAGCGTATGCTTAATCGCCTATCACTCTAATTTTTGGATCTCGTGTACACTTTTCTCTAATTCCATTATGGACATCGGGAGAAAATAGAAGAAATGCCGTCAGTCTTGTTGAATACACGTGTATCATTTGGATATCATCACCACGACACGCAATGCAGTGCTTACCCGAGAAGTGATATATACCGACGGCCCTTTCGTGACCTCGTTCTAACGGTGCCCCCAATAACTAATGAACGACCTGTTACAACGCAAGAGAATCACCTTGCTAGGTGCGAAATGACATACTTCTACTCACTCTCGTCTGTAGCTCCTTGGGAAGCATGGAGAGGCCTGTTTCCTGTGGCAAATGTAGACAAAAAGGTATGAAACAAGTGAATGATTCAATGATGCAACAGACGTAATTTGTGTTGATGTTATTAGTCTTTAACAGAATTATACGTCAATCATAAGACACAGTGAAATTATTCAGTTTCATTCACAACTATGCTCTACATAGGCCTACCTTTTACCAGGCTTATCCTCCGTGGTCAGTTCTTACTACGGTCAATTCTTACTCTTCTGTCTGAGTAAGTGAACCTCTTACAGTGAGTCCCTAGATAGGAATTCCTCAGTATATATGTGTGCTCTGCCTCTCCCTTTAGAATCTCGAACTCACTTCAGAAATGACTTGTTCAAGCATTCGACTTCATAACTACCCTCTGGAGGTGTCGACACGATCCCACACCGATCGGACTTCGGGGTCGGTTACTTTCCTGTTCCACAGATGATTAAATTATTCGAAATCGTGTCACTTCTGCATTAGCGTCGACAAAACTACACTGCCTGGCCCTCCGTTGACGATTTTC